TATTCCAAGAACTCAAACACCACTCTTCACATACCATTCCAATCCTAATCCCATTCACACACACCACACACACACTCTAAATAAATAGAAAACTAATTAATTTTAAAACTCTTATTAACTTAAAAGCTCCAACTCGACACTAACTTTATATAATACCAGTTGTATAAATTATAATATTAAATCTAATAATTAAAACTACGTAAATAATATATTTTAATTTGTCGTGACCGCGTATCTAGTGTCTACCGTTACCCAAAGGGTGGCGATAGTATCGGCTCGGGTTCGGTGAGAACGGGTACCGATTAGCACAATTACGGGCAAAATATATTGTGAACCGAGGGCACTGTTGAGTCAGTAATCGCTTATGTAATAAGCGGTTACCAACTAATACTCACACTCGTAGTCTATTTGGATCAGATGTAGTGTTGGTTCGCTTCTTGGAACCGTTTATATTGACAATAAGTAACACAAAGATTTAACAACTCTAATAAAATTTTATTAAAAACTATGTTATAAAAAATGGTTAATAAAAATGTATAAGAAAATGATTGGATTGATTGAGTGTTGTGTTGGTTGAGGTGTTGTGTATGTGTTGAGGGCTTGAAAACCAACTGAAGAGTTGGGCGCTTGTAGTGTGTGTTTTGTATGCCTTCCATCCGGTTCTGTGATGAGAGAACCGTTGGAAAGGGTTTGAAGTGATTGGCCGAGAGCTGGTGTTGAGGCGAATGAGGGCATGAGTGCGGTGTAGGTGTGGAGAGTGTTGTCCTGTTTCTGGGAATTGTTTGTGAATGGGATTAGGATTGGAATGGTATGTGAAGAGTGGTGTTTGAGTTCTTGGAATAGGATCTGTTTGGAGGGCAGTTGAAGAGATTAGAACAGAAAGCTTGGAATGCGGTTCTGTGTCACGAGAAATTACATCTTTATTTAGAAACTAATTTTGTGTTTACAATATATAAACCGTTACACCTCTTTCGAACGGTTGGCCATGTTTTGAAATCCGTATTAATAATATTATCAAGTACGTTTGAACACAACTAAATGAACAAATAAATGCAACAAAAATACAATTACGTAAAAATTACACTTTAATAGAATAATTTGAAATGACAAATTATTGCGTGTTTATTAGTAATTTGTGTCAAATCTGATTAAAGCGCTGACTCTAAATACTTTTCAAGTAATTTAGAGAACAACACGGTAAACGATTTATATGTATTAATAGCAGTCGGGTAGGACTCTTTCATCTCGCACTTTGTGTCCACCTTTACTCCCAACACGTGTTCAGTTCGGTTCAACATTGCCGGATGGAGTTCAATACGTCGGTGTGAAAACTCCCTGAACCCATCGATGTCGTCGTGCATATCAATCACTTTAGTCCAGAAGTCACGGCCAACGCTGTAATTGTTTTATTGGTATTAGCATAGCATGTATTACAACATTAATGCCATTATTATTTTACATTTCGTTAGTTTTGAACTACAAAACTAATAAATTACAATTTGACAATGACCTTGGTTAGCGCACTTTTATATAAGTATATAAATACTTAATTATAAAATTATGTTATGTATTAAATAGTTAATTAAATTTTAGTTTTAGAAGTTTAATAATTTTAAAGAATAACTACAATGTCTATTAAATTAAATTTCACGGGTAAAGTAGTGTTGATAACGGGCTCGAGTTCGGGCATCGGTGCGGCCACTGCTGTGCAGTTCGCCCAATCGGGTGCCAGTGTTGTGGTCACCGCTCGCAGAGCCGACAAACTCGCAGAAGTGGGCGAACAGTGTCTGATAGTATTGCCGAAAGCGAGTAAAGCACTGGAAATGACGGCAGATGTGACCAAACCGGAAGACATGCGACGACTATTATTATTTAACATTGCTATGGATTTGACCTACATATTAATCATATTAATACATTATTAACTAATTAATTACAATTGACAATGACCATGGTTAGATCACTTTTATTTAAGTACAAAATACATAATAATAAAATTATGTCATGTATTAAATTCTTAAATTAATTTTAGTTTTAAAAGTTTTTATTAAATGTTTTATAATTCACAGAATAACTACAATAACTGTTAAATTTGATTTTAAAAATAAAGTAGTGTTGATTACGGGCTCGAGTTTGTGTATCGGTGCGGCCGTTGCCGCCAATGCACTCAATTTCAATAGTCTTAAGATTTTTGTTTAAAATATTTATAAATTAAAAATTATTCAATAATATTTAATAACAATAATATTAATGCTAAATTATATTAATTAATTAAATTTCAATTCTCTCTCTCTCTCTCTCTCTCTCTCTCTTTGTTGTATTTAATAAAATAATATACAGTACTATGAGATATGTAATCAAATGCTTAATTAGATATATAAAATAATTTAATCTAATCCATATAATTTATGTAAACTAAATGATCTCAATTAATGTTATAGGGTATTTTAGTTTATGATTTTATAATAAAATTTATTTATATTTATTAAAAAAATATATTAATAATATCAATATTTAAACATTTGAATATTGTGCGTTAAATAAATTAAAAATTATTTATTTCAAAAAACTCCATTATAAAATATTATTTAGTTAAAAATTTTTAATAAATCTGTTTTATATGATTTTATTAAATAACATCTGTTAAAAATGTCTGTTATATACGACTTCACGGGTAAAGTAGTGTTGATAACGGGCTCGAGTTCGGGCATCGGTGCGGCCACTGCTGTCCAGTTTAGTAAAGCCGGCGCCCAAGTGGTGGTCACCGGACCTCCTGATCGTCTACCCATAGATACGGCCAAAGAGTGTCTGAAAGTATCGCCGAAAGGGTTGAAAGCACTGGAAGTGACGGCAGATGTGACCAAACGGAAAGACATGCGACGAGTCGTCGACCAGACTATCAAACATTTCGGTAAACTTGATATTCTCGTCAATAACGCCGGCGCCGGGATTCCCACCCGTATTGACGACATCGACTATTACGACAAGTTTGAGAAAATAATGGCAATTAATCTCAATTCTGTGGTCTATTTGACGAATATATGTGTCGAGCATTTGGAGAAAACTAAAGGAAACATCATTAATGTCTCGAGTGTCGCCGGTTTGATAGCGGTATGTAATTATGATAATTAATCATTAAATATATTTATCATAATAACTTTATAATTAAAAATATAATTATCATCTATATACTATGGTATGTACACAATAGTCTGTCGGCTTTTCACCATATAATATATCAAAGTGTGCTATTGATATGTTTACTAAGTGTATGGCTGCCAAGTTGGGACCTAAACGCATCCGGGTTAATACTATTAGGTTAAACACCTGAATTTTAATTTAATATTACAAATATTATTTTAATTGATCTAATACTAATTAAGTTTGTTTATTAAACTAGTCCTGGACCCATTAGAACACAGTTTTACGAGACTAGTGGTCTGACAACTGATCTGGCTGATCAACTATTTATTACGTTTGTCCAAAAGCTACCGGTTGGTCGCCAGGGTATTACTGATGATGTGGCCAATACTGTACTACACCTGACCAGTGACCATGCACAGTTTTCCACCGGTGATAATGTACTGGTGGACGGTGGTAGCATGGCTGCCAATGTTACTTTGGAAAATGGACAATGCATCAAAAAAATTATTTTAAAAAAACAATGATCAACAATAAATAAAATGATATAATTAAAGAGAATTG